CAGTCTCTACGTAAAAGAATAAATGGACACAAATCAGACGTCAAGAATTAGAACATTCAAAAACCAGCCGGAGAACCCTTCAATCTCTCTGGTCACTCGATTACAGACCTAAAAGTGGCAATTCTTCAACAAAAAACTTCAAAAACAGACTCCAACGATAGACTGCTGAATTGGAATTAATTTGCAAACTGGATACAATTAACTTAGGCTTGAATGAAGACTGGGAGTGGACGGGTCATTACACAAAGTAAAACTATTTCCCCTTGTTTATTTCCCCTCCTACTGTTCTTGTAAAGTGCTGGAAATGGCCCACCTTGATTATCACTACAAAAGGTCCGTCCGTCCGTCCCCCCCCCCCCCGGCCCCGCTCTCCTGGTGGTAATAGCTCACCTTTCCTGATCACTCTTGTTACAGTCTGTATGGTAATACCCATTGTTTCATGTTCTCTGTGTATATAAAATCTCCCCACTATATTTTCCACTGAATGCATCCGATGAAGTGAGCTGTAGCTCACGAAAGCTTATGCTCTAATAAATTTGTTAGTCTCTAAGGTACCACAAGTCCTCCTTTTCTTTCCCTGTGACACACATGTGCCTCCAGTGGCATCTTCTCCTTATTCTGTCAAACCCAGTTACTCTCAAAGACCAGCTGTCATAAATATAAAGGGAAGGGTAACCACCTTTCTGTTTTCAGAACTATAAAATCCCTCCTGGCCAGAGGCAAAACCCTTTCACCTGTAAAGGGTTAAGAAGCTAAGATAACCTCGCTGGCACCTGACCAAAATGACCAATGAGGAGACAAGATACTTTCAAAGCTGGCGGGGGAACAAAGGGTCGGTCGGTCTCTCTGTCTGTCTGTGTGATGCTTTTGCCAGGAACAGAACAGGAATGGAGTATTAGAACTTATTAGTAAGTAACCTAGCTAGAAATGCGTTAGATTTCCTTTTGTTTAATGGCTGGTAGAATAGCTGTGCTCAATGGAACGTATATTCCTGTTTTTGTGTCTTTTTGTAACTTAAGGTTTTGCCGAGAGGGATTCTCTATGTTTTGAATCTGATTACCCTGTAAGGTATATACCAGCCTGATTTTACAGAGGTGATTCTTTTACTTTTTCTTTAATTTACATTCTTCTTTTAAGAACCTGATTGCATTTTCATTGTTCTTAAGATCCAAGGGTTTGGGTCTGTGTTCACCTATGCAAATTGGTGAGGATTTTTATCAAGCCTTCCCCAGGAAAGGGGGTGTAGGGCTTGCGGGGATATTTTGGGGGGCAGACGTCTCCAAGTGGGCTCTTTCCCTGTTCTTTGTTTAACACGCTTGGTGGTGGCAGCATAGGTTTCAAGGACAAGGCAAAGTTTGTACCTTGAAGAAGTTTTTAACCTAAGCTGGTAACAATAAGCTTAGGGGGTCTTTCATGCAGATCCCCACATCTGTACCCTAGAGTTCAGAGTGGGGAAGGAACCTTGACACCAGCTCACAAAGAGGTAAAACACAGCAGATTTGCTGCTACGTACACCCCTAATTTTGTGTGCATATGCTAAGAAGCGCATAGGGAATCGAGTCCCAGCAGGTCTGCAAAGTCAAGAAGCTAAGGTGGGATAATTCCTGAGTGGCACCAACTTTATTTGCTCCCCTGACAGCACTGTAATGTAAAAATCAAAGCTTGTTTCAGCTCCAGAGGACATGGGGGAAGCATTTCCCATCCCGTTCCCCACACACATGGCTTTGGTACATTACTCACTTGATCTGAATTCTGGGGGTGTATGTGACTGGTGGCAGGAGGCGAGCAGGTTCTTTGCCATTTTTTAATTTGCTGCTTTGTGTCCTTCAAGCGATTTTAATTGTAATTAAAATCCAGCCGCCAAATGGAATGGAGCGTGCGAGAGCCTGTGGGCAGGGTGGAAGTCAAGGGAGTGGTTGGCTTTCCACGGCCCTGCAGTCTTGCCCTGCAGTTTTCTTCTTAGCATTATCTGCATTGCAAATTAAACTCTGCTGCTGCGTGTGCTGCTTCCCCTCTAGCTCTCTTTTCTTCATGACAGTGAATTGGGCCTGAAGCCTGTTGTTTTGCCAGACAGGTGACAGACTATGCAAATTTCACACTCTCTTTACATAGTTCCCAGTTAACCCAGCACTGATCCTCCATGCAGCATAGTTCAGTGGACGGGGCATGAAGCTGGGAGTCAGGAGACCCAGCTTGTCATGGATATGTGGGGTGACCTTGGTCAAGTCACGGCCTCTCCATGTGCCTCAGTTTCTCCATCTATGAAATGCTGCTGAGACTTACCTTTCCTTTGTAAAGCACTTTGAGACACATGAGTTACAAAGGGCTGTATAAGAGCTAGGGATTATTACGTTCTCTTCGGGACTGTCGTCAGTTACATCAAGGGCTAGATTCACAAGGGGGGCCCTGGGTGCCTAACTACCACTTTAGGCACCACTGGCATTCACAAAACTCCTGCTCAGCTGACTCCTAACCCTGGAGGCACCCATGGTGCTGCAGTTTCCAATGGTAAAGTCCCGGAGGTGCCTCGGTTTGAGCAGAGCCACCAAAGTCCTGGCACCGTCCAACAGCTCAGTCCCTATGGCATGCCTAAGCCCTGGAGGAATTTACGAAGTAGGCGTTCCCCTGTCTATTTCACTTTCGGGGCCTGATTTGGTAGTTACCTGAGTCCCCCCTGCAACTCTAGCTATCCCCCAAATACTTTGGGGTGAGGAAAAGTGAAGAAGAGCCAGAGAATGGTCTAGACAGGGATCCAAGTTCGATTCCCTGCTCTGCAGGCCATGACTCAGCCACTTTTTCCTACTGGACCATGGGCAAGCCATTTCAGCCCAGAAGCCTCACTGATTACTATGGCGCCTAAATACCTTTGAGGATCTGAGCCTCAGTGTTTAAGTTTCCCACTTACAATACAGATTACAACAGAGATTACACTGTCCTACCTCCTAGAATAACAGTTATCCTCACAGTGAGGATAAATACATTAAAGATTGCGAGGTGCTCAGATATCTTGGTGATGGGGACCAGATAAGTAACGTAGATAGAAAAAAAAATAACCTCCCACAGCTAATAGATACATAAACCTCTTTTAGCTAAAAGTATATTTTGCAATTCGGAAGAGACTTTTACCCAAGGATCTCCAGTTATTTTACAGAGGCTAAATTAATTCAATCTCACCCCATTATCATCATCAGTATTATTGCCAATGGGATAGGTGCCTTTCACTCCCAGGCCACTGGCTGAAACCCATTCCTAGATGGTAGCGACAGAAAGCTGTTGCCATCTGATAGCAGTTTGGTGGCCTATGGGAAATGCATTTAAAGGATCCAGCTTAGATGCTAGTGTCCACACTGTAAGAACCGTTGCTGGAAGGCTCAGAAAGGCCATGGAATCTGAGTTCTTCCACTCCTCGAGTGAGGGCAGGTTGAGGTGCCTTGACAGTATAATGGGGTGGGGGAATCCTGTGTTCCTTCAGTTTGAAGGATAAATACAGACTGGGATTCTCAAAAAAGCCTAAGTGGGTTAAATGTCCAAATACCATTTGATTTCAGGTCTCCACATCTCAAGTCAGCACCTTTCACCAGCACTGAATTCCCAGGATAGCTGTTGTGCGTTTTGAAAGTTCAGTGATTGGCTAAGCATCATTGGCTGATCCCAACTTCTCTGGGCTTGAAACAGAACTAGGTTTCTCGTGTGATATTCTCTACCCTCCTGCATGGGTTTATGCCAGGAACACCCACCCCCTAAACAACTAAATTAGCCGTTACCGCTCTAGAACGAGATCTTGGAGTTACCATGGATAGTTCTCTGAAAACTTCAGCTCAATGCACAGCAGCGGTCAAAAAGGCGAGCAGAATGTTTAGGAACTATTACGAAAGGAATAGGAAATAAGACAGAAAATATCACTATGCCACTATATAAATCCATGGTGCACCCACACCTTGAATACTGTGTCCAGTTCCAGTCGCTCCATCTCAAAAAGGAGAGAGTGGAACTGGAGACCATTCAGAGAAGGGTAACAAAGCTGATGAAGAGTATGGAACGACTTCCGCATGAGGAGAGACTGAAAAGATTAGGGTGATTCAGGCTAGAAAAGAGATGATGAAGGCGAAATATGAGAACGGTCTATAAAATCATGACTGGTGTGGAAACAGTGAATAGGGAAGTGTTATCTACCCTGCCCCACAAAACCAAACGCAAGGGTCATGCGATGAAATTAATAGGCAGCAAACAAGAGGAAGCATTTTTTTCACATAACACACAATTAACTGGTGGAACTCATTGCCATGGGATGGTGTGATGGCCAAAGTAGAACTCGGTTCAAAAAAGAACTAGATACGTTCATAGAGGATAGGCCCATCAATGACTATTCGCCAAGATGGTCAGGGATACAACCCCTCGCTCAGGTGATCCTAAATCTCTGAATGCCAGAAGAGGAAGACAGGGGTGGATCACTCCAACTGGCTTGTTCTGTAAACTCCCCCTGAAGCTCTGGTACTGGCCACGAGTGGAGAAAGAATACTGGGCTAGTTGGAGCATTTGTCTGACCCAGTATGGCCGTTTTTATGTGCTTAAACAGGCTGCATTTCCAAACTAGGTAGCATGAGGGGGTGAAGATTCACAGAAAAAAAGTGAATCATATTGTTTCAATCTTCAGGAAAAACATAGTTTGCCCTCGGGGCAAACTTCCAGCCTGGACGTTTATCTTACCTACACTGGGTCAGCCCATCCCTAGACAAGAACTCAACAATGTTTCCACAATGCCATGAATCGATTTGTCCCTCTGAGGTACAACCAACACAGTGTCCATAGAAAGTGGAGCAATTGTAATACGTCTGGTTAGGAACCTTGCAGGTGTATCTGAGGGTGGCATTTGCCCTCAGAGTGACTGTCCAATTGGACAGACCAAACCTGCTCACCCATGAGCTATTAATTTAACAGGGACAAAACAGCGAGGCTATCATCACTTTCCGACAGAATAATGATAAAGAGATGACAGGTACCATTGACAGTCAGAGACACCTCCCGTTCGCCGGCGCCCACCCGCGGAACCACTGCTCGGCAGACGTATTTCCCCGCATCCTCCTGGCGGACACCTTTTAATGTTAAAGTGTTCTCGTTGCTCAGGACCTGAAAGAGAGGAAAGGCATGTTTTAAAGAAGGGCAATGCAAATTTGTCCAGAAACGTTAATGTGTTCTGAAAAACCAGAGAAACATTTACAGTTCAGTGCTCAGGGTTTCAGCCCCAATGCTACAGGTATGCTATAAATGTAATCCTGTTCATTAGAACTGGGTGGGAAATGGCTTTCCCATCCTATGTATATTTTTGAGAGTTCAAAATTTGTTCTTATCCCAAATCAGGACAAAAAGTTGAAGTCTCAAAACTTTTCATGAACCAAAGAACTGAATTTTTCTTCAGATCAAGTCAATCAAAATGTTTTGTTTAGATCATTTCAAAATATTTTCTTTCGATTAACACCTCCCCCCCACCTTTTTTCAGTCTAATTAGCTTAAATTTTGAAATAAAAAGTCATTTCCAGACTTGAATTTTTTCTTTAGAAAATGTCAAAACAAAATGTTTTGACAATTTTGAATCTCTTTGTCCAAAAATGTTTTGTCAGGAGATTCATTGAAATTGACCCTGTTTCACAAACAGCTTTGGTTTCAAAGTGCTGGCATTTTTCAATGAACAAATGTTTTGTTGAAACATTTGGGATCAGCACTAATGCTAATATAATGTAACTCTCTGTCCCACTCTCGTGACTGGGCCATATCCAGCATATATACATATACAGACTCTGTTACTGCCTCCCAGCAAAGAGACTAGTCATTGGTTCATTCAAAGAATAATTCTAAAAAGAACGTTATTTTTTAAAAGTTTTCAAGCCCAAAGGCTTGGGTCCTGCACAGAAAAGATAACTAGAACCAGTTGCCAGAAAAAGAGAAAAATAATACAATTTCTTAATGGTGTGGGAAATGTCTTCCCATTTTTCAAAATTAGATTTTTTTTTTGAAGTTTGAAATTTCAAAATTTGAAACTTTCCATTAGCTTTAGGGTTGGTGAAGACATGGGGGGATGGGGGGAATGATATGCACATATTGTGTTTAATCTGTTCCCCGTTTTATCCTAAAATTTAATCATTCAAAACCGTCACCGTTTCGAAATCTGAAACAGGTCCACTAATTTTCAGAATGACTAAATCTAGGAAAATTTGCAAAGAGCTAATCACCCAATAATTAGTGTGAGACTCAGAAAGTCTTTGCAACCCACCTATATTATGTGATCCCTACAAAACACAAATTGACAAAGAAATCAGGTCTGCAATGTCGAATAGAAAGATGCCACACGTGAACTTTGGGGAGCATTAGAGCGGAGTGCACTCCTGAATGGCAGGCCCTTGGCTGTGAACAGCCAACCTCCCATCCCTTTGAGAGTAAAGTCAGCCCTGTTGCCTTGAAGCAGTTGGCCTTACAGGTATTTTGCCACAATACCATTCAAAGCTTGATATAAATGTAACCCATGATAACAGTGTGTGGCTCCTTGTCCCCCTCTACTGGCTGGGCCATGGATAGCAGACCACTAGTTGCATCCGATGAAGTGAGCTGTAGCTCACGAAAGCTCATGCTCAAATAAATTGGTTAGTCTCTAAGGTGCCACAAGTCCCCCTTTTCTTTTAGTCTGCTACTGTCTCTCAACTCAGACACTAATGTTTCAGCTCATGCTTTTAGATCTTGCACTCCTGCGTTCCACTCCACAAATGACCTGAGCGTGAGTGTCATCACATAAGGATGACTTCACGAGTCTGGCAGAGGCTTGTTGTTCATCCATTGCTATCCTAGTGCTTTGTCATTGGCTGACCAACAAGCACAGGTGACAGCTGGCAGGTACAGCCTCAGTGAGCTCCAACAAACCAAGGGCCAGGCCTTCTAACAGTAGGCTCACTGACTGCAACATAGTGCCAATGAGAGCCACCAGACATAACAGATGGCTTAGCTGTGTCAAAGGCATGCCAGCCGGAGGACTTCATGCAACCAGCGTGTGCTTGGCCTGTGGCAAGGCACGTGCACAAAGCATGCAGCGCCACACCCCTGTGCCTGCCCAGACTCGGAGCTGGTAGGAGCAGCACGTATGAGCACACTAGGCATTAGCTGTTCAGATAATCTGCACTCTCAGCACTCGATTAGAAACGTTTGCTGCTTGAGGTGGAAATGTTAGTGCATGAACTGCACTCTCGGGAAGTGGAGGTCCCACATGTGTGGAGAGGGGTCTAGACCCCTGATGATGTGAGCGCAAACAAGTAGATGTAATTATGTTTTATATTCTCTGTACGATCTGTACAATGCAAAGTGAGGCCAGTGTGCCGAGGAGAGAGCAGACCCCAGCGTGCATTGTGCATGCTTTGCTGGCCAAGCTAATGACCTTAGAACGTGCCCCTTTCTGTCACATCATAGGGACACTTTAATACTCTGGAAGCTAGGAAGGAGGGAAATCAAATGAGTTCATTGATGCATTTGCCGAGATGCAGTCACAGAACTTTTCACCCAAGGATCTCAAAGCACGTTCCAAACACTGACTCAGCCTGATGGCATGCTATAACGAGGGATTATTACCCCTATTTTGCAAATCATGGAACTGGGACACCATGAGATAACGTCAATGGCAGAGCTTGGAAAAGAACGCAGGAGCCTTGATTCTCAGGCCCTGTTCTAATCGCTAGCTTGCACTGTCTCCCTAACTAAACAGGGCCACACACTCAGATCTTGGGGGCAGAGTGGGGCTGCCAATGAGGCCCCTATTCCAAACCCCAAGGTCAGAGGAAGAGCAGAATCACATGCTATCAGTTACGTGCAAGCTGTTGTTTTGAGATCCTCTTTCCTGGCAACTTGGGGTTTGCATCAACCTGCTGTCTTTGACTCTTCCCCAGAAACATGCTGAAAGCTGGAACTTTCGACGCACTGCCCTACTGCCCCATCGGTGCAATTAGCAGGTTTATTAAAACTGGAAAAGTGCTGAAGCAAAGCGGGCTGATGCAGGCAGTCAGCAAAATCCCAGCCCTTGCAGCATTTAGAAATGTGATGAGTCTAAACCAAATAGTGGCTTTTGGAGTCAAGTATTTCTAATTACCTGTGGAGGCAGCTCATGCCAATGGCTAATTTCCCACCTATACAACCGAATCTGTCAGGGTGGGCAGGTTGCCAAAGGGGACTGGAGACAATTTTTCTCAGTAGCTGGGCGGGACCTCCCCAGATGGGCCAGAGAGATGCGGTACCTGTTCTGCTCTCCCTGCCGACAGTCAGCTCTTAGAGTTGCCAACTGTGTCCACATATCTATTCAGGGGACATCATCATAGGGCCTAATCACATCAGCCACACTATCAGAGGCTCGTTCACCTGCACATCTACCAATGTGATATATGCCATCATGTGCCAGCAATGCCCCTCTGCCATGTACATTGGTCAAACTGGACAGTCTCTATGTAAAAGAATAAATGGAAGCAAATCAGACGTCACGAATTATAACATTCAAAAACCAGTTGGAGAACACTTCAATGTCTCTGGTCACTCCATTACAGACCTAAAAGTGGCAATTCTTCAACAAAAAAACTTGTGGACTCTGCACCTGGGAAAGGTGTCATGGTCCAGCAGCGACCCGAGTTACTGCAAAGGGACATCCCAATCCATCTGCCCTCGTCCTAAAATGGCACTAGCTACTCCCCCACAAGGAGGAAGATTCATAGACTTATAGAAGGGTGGGACAGGAGAATGGAGGGCAGAGGGGAAATGGGGATTTCCCTGGAGGGACTGAGCAGAGGAATCCTCAGGACCACTTGGAGGACGGTGAGGAAGAACCCATGCTTCACAGGTTGCACCATGCTTTGCCTATGTTTTGCAGTGCATGCATCCCACTCTTCACACTGCTCCAAAGCAGCCAGAGGTGACTCTCAGCATGGTGAGATGTCAGTGGCCAAGGGAGCATTGAAGCAGGGCCAGGAGGAGCAGAAGAGCATTGGAGATAGCTGGGAATTTAGCCAGGTGGGCTAGAGGAATACGTATGTACCCCACATACGCACTCTCATATGGAAAGGGCTGAGAGAGCAGCCAGAAGGTTTGGTGAAGCACAAGAGCAGGATCAGGAGGTCCAATATCGAGCCAAGTTCAGGGTCTTGATCCTTATCTTCAAGGTGCTCAATGGCCTGGGTCCAGTGTGTATTTCAGATTGTCTGTAGCTCTAGCATGAAGTCTGTGGTCAACAATTCTAATCGCATGTCACAGTGGAACTTTTTACAATAAAGGTAAAACTCGTCTGTGCAGGAGACAGAGCTTTTTGAGGGGTGGTCTGAGACTGGCATGATGTCCCATAGGAACTAAGGACCATCACAAACCTCATTACCCTTCATTGCAAGGGCAAAGTGCACTTCTCTGACCTGCCTTATTCTCACAGGTCCAGAGAGCAGCATGGACATTTATTCAAACAAATACGTAAATAAACCCCTACCAAAATAACAAACCCCATGGCACACACAATCCTCCCCCTGGGGAGGTGATGAGAGAAAGAATGAACCGTACGGTGACAAATGTTAATGCACAGCCGGAGCTCAGATACTCTGGTGATGAGGGCGGTATAAGAACCTATATAGAATAGGATAGCCCCCAATTCACCACCATTTATTATTGTATTATTCAACTAGAACAGTCACTGCTGTAGGGACAGTTGCATCATGGGCATGTTCCTAGAGGGCTGCTTATATCAGTACAGATACAAATGAATCTACACAGGTATTTTGTCGGTAAAACTACACTGGCAGAGGGCTTGTGCCATTTGGGGAACTGGTCAACTTCGCTGGCAAAAGTTGAGGGTTTTGTTGGATGGACTCAAAATTGAATATGGACGGCACTGGTATATATTTCAGATGCCCTAAGTTTGTGGATCTCTGCTCCACAGCTGAGATGGATGTTTGCCTACGACACCTGTTTCACGAAGGGATAATTCCTTACGGAGCCAGAGACAGCAGGGTCTCCTGGACTCTTCAGGGGACCAGGGTGGTTATACAGGAGCCAGAGGACAGTTTGACCCTGTGAACCCTGCACTCTCATTGAGGTCAATGGAAACAACATGCAGGACTGGGCCATAACTAAGCTATTCTAGGTGCTGAGTTCCATAACTCTGCCTGATTTTGGTGCTGCTCACCATGGAACTGTGGTTTATCATTTGTTTTACAGTAAGCACCAATCTCCACTGGAGCCCCTGCACTTGGCAAGAGACAGTCCATCCCCCAAAGAGGTTATGATGGAAATAGACTCTCAGAAGGCATGTGATTTGCCCACGGTCACACACTAGGTTAGTGGCAGAGACTGGCACAGAACCCAATTCTCCCGAATCCCAGTCCAACGACATGTCCATTTGCCTAGCATGGCCCTCCAGGGCTCACCCCTGATTCAGAACATAGTGCAGCAAGACCCGGGTGACTGAGATTCTTACCACGCCTGAGCCCCGCTTCATCCAGACGATGGTCAGTGATGGGTTCCCAGTCCAAGCACAGCTGAACACTGCATCTGACCCCAGGTCGACAAGGAGGGACTGCGGTTCTGTTGCCATCCTGGGACCAACTGTGCATAGGAGACAAGCAGAGAAGGTGACTGTGTGGAGAAACAGAGTCAGATCCACTGACCAGCACTATCCCCAGCCTGATGAATGACAGGCCAAAGGTTCAACCAATCAGAAGCTCCTGGGCCAAAGTGGCTATCAGGATGATGCAGACCCCTGAGCTTCCACCATCTCCCCCCTCCTTGAAGCATGCTCTGTTTTCACAGGAATGTAGGGCTGTAAAGAATCTCAAGAGGTCCCCAGGTCCAGCCCCCTGTGCAGAAACAGGACCAAGTAAACCTAGACTGCCCTGTGCAACCTGTTCTTAAACACCTCCAATGATGGGGATTCCACAACCTTCCCTGGAAGCCTGTTCCAAAGCTTAACTACAGTTATAATTAGAAAGCTTTCCCTTGTTTCTAACCTAAATCTCCCTTGCTGCACATTACACCCCTTACTTCTTTTCCTACCTTCAGCAGACCCAAAGAACAATTGATCCCCGTCCTCTTTATAGCAGCCCTTCCCAGACTTGAAGACTTATCGAGTCCCGCCCTCAGTCATCTTTTCTTCTGACGAAACGTGCCCTGTTTTTTAACCTTTCCTCCTAGGTCAGGTTTTCAAAACCTTTGATGAGTTTTCTTGCTCTCCTCTGGACTCTCCCCAGTTTATCCACATTTTACTGAAAAGCGTGGGGCCCAGAGCTGGACCCAGTACTCCAGCTGAGGCCTCGCCAGTGCCAAGCAGAGGACGACAATTACCTCCCGTGTCTTACACACGACACTCCTGCTAATACACCCTACTAGCCTTTTTTGCAACCGTACCACAGCTTCCCTGCTATTCACCAGGCCAATAACCCTGTCAAAGAATGAAGTTAGGTTAGTTTGGCAGGATTTGATCTTGACTGGCTATTCCTTATAAACCCCTGAAGGTGATGACAAATGGATGCTCACTAGTTTTTCTTAGGCTACATCTACACGAGAGACCTTAAGCGGCATAGCTTTACTGATGCAGCTGCGCTGCTGCCAGATCTCTCGTGTAGCTGCTCCGTGCCAATGGGAGAAAGCTCTCCCGTCATCATGATTAAACCATCCCCACAGAGATGCTCTCCCACTGACATAGCACCGTGCACACTACCGCTTATGCCAGCGAAACCTATGTTGCTCAGGGGTGTGTTTTGTTCAGGGATGTGTTTTTTTCACCCCCCCCGAGCAACGTAAGTTTTGTCAACATGAGAGGTAGTGCATGCATGGCCTAAGTAGATTTCCAGGTATCAAAGTTAAGCTGATTGGGCTAAAATTCTCTGAGCATGATCGATAAATACATCTCTCTGACAAGCCAGGAGAGCCAGGACTAGAAACCTGATTCTACAGCCCCAGGAAAGAGGCCTCTGCCTGTACCCCATGGAACAGAACCCCACTGGGTCCATTAATTTAGAGGTAAGAAAATAATCTGCACGGTCAACAATTCAGTGCAGTGTTAACAAAACCCTTAATAGCTAAATCACCAGGAAGCCCCGTTTTCTCTGACTCCAGGCTGCGATTGCCAAGGCCGTCTAGCAGATTGGGATTTCCGTTTCCCATTATTTTTAGGCAACTTTGAAAGTCCCAGAACTGATTGCAAAATTAACCTATGCGGAGGTGCGCTTTGGAGCCGATTTTAAGCTGTTCCTTTGGGGCTGGTCTGTGTTCCTGAGGATGCAGAAGCAGAGAAGAACTTACAGTAGACATCCACCGTCCTGCTGATGTTGGTACTTCCCAAAGCATTGGTCACCTCACAGGATACTGGCTCAAAGAAGAAGGTGTGGTCCACAATGGTCTCATAGGAGTCGCCCGATGCTTCCTTTATAACTTGACCTTTTTTTGCCCATCTGTAGAATAAAAAAATAGCAAGGTTGTCTTATTCTGGCAGATCTCATAGAGAGACAAGGTGGGTGAGGTGAGATCTTTTATTGGACCAACTTCTGTTGAGGAGAGAGAGAGACAAGCATTGGAACTGCACGGAACTCGTCTTCAGGTCTCCTGAGTTCTGTGTACCTAGTAAGCTTGTCTCTTTCACCAACAGAAGCTGGTCCAATAAAAGATTTTACCTCACCCACCTTGTCTCTCATACTAGAGACCAACATGGCTACAACAACACTGCAAACACTCATAAAGAAAGTATCAATTCCTCTACCCCAGTCATGGCTTCTGATAAATAAGAAGAGCTGACCTTTATAGGACATTTTTCATGTCACAAGATCCCAAAAGCCGGTACAACAGCATGCTTCTCTCAGCACTTAAATGCAACTGTCCCAAAGACTACAGCAGCTGTTGCATTATGTAACAATTTAGGAGAGGAAGGTGTGAAGAATTTGGTATCCAGTTTAAATGGCTGGAGGGATTTTAGGTAGCAGAATAGGCCATGCTTTCTGTGGTGAAAACCAGAGGAACGACACCAGGGATGGAACTGGGATTCTAATTTCCTGAGTCAGGATATCAGGGTTAACACACACAAAGGTCCACAGAATCTTGAATGCTCACAAATGGTCAGGACATTGGTTGTATTTAGACTTGAAGGATTCAATCTTTTATCAGTAAATGTTGGTGAACATATCGTTCACCGCACGCACACAGATCGACAGAGAAATATTTCCATCGATAATACTCGAAATGTACAGACAAGCAAAGAAAGAAACATGCTGCATGATAACCTATTTGAGTTGGATTTAAGGATATTTACTTTGCATGTTTTCACGTAACGTTGCCAGTTGTGTTTTAATGGTCTTAGAACTTTAACTTTTTGAATCTCAACGTCTACTGTCGTTAAATAATTAGCCTGACCCCTCTATCGTCTGACTTCTCACAATTCTCCTCAGCTATGAACATTTAAAATGGACAGAAATGAATAAAGATGCTTAAAGTTAAACACTGACATTATCCATCAAAATGATAAACAATGTAAATGGAATTCTGCCAAGCCTCATTGTATTTTACATCTGGGAGGGGGCACCCCTGAGACCCCATTGTCCCCTAGCACCAGGCTGGGGTATTGAATCTAGACTGACAGAGAGGGATAAGAGATCCCAACCTCTGCTCCCTGCTGAGACACCAACTCACATCCTGGGATTTCCTTGGAAGTGTCGCATGCAGTTACTGCTCTGGATAAACCCGTATAACATGTGAAAGCCAATAGCAATGACAGACACAATCTGCATCTGACTATCCAAAGGGCTGCTCATTCAGGGCCTAGGCCAAAACCCACTGAAGTGAGTGGAAAGACTCTGACTGACTGCAACGGCCTTGGGATCGCTCTGCTATTGACAAAGCCAGGCTGGATTTGGGTGCCATACAGATAATACAGGTGGGGCCCAAGAGGACACGCACTAGGCCTTATTGTTTAACCGCCTGGCTACCGTTAAGCCTTCGCGCTCCAGCCACGCCGCTGAGTACCACAGCCCCTACGTTTCCGTAATGACAACGGGCTGCCAACAGGTGCAATGGAAAACCCGGCAGCAATGGATACGATTGATGGAGAATCCCTCCTCCCAAGCACAGAACAGTCCGAGTCCAACAAAGGTGTTCAGGAGTTCGCATCCTCAGCTGAGTCTGTGTCTGTGACCAGGCCTGCAGGCTGCGGCAGGGGACAACAGCCCTGGCCGCTGCTTGTTCTCATAGCAATTCCAGCAGGCAGGAGTGGCCAGCCCACACCTCCCTCCCCTCTCTGGGTTCACGGGGCTCCCCTGCATTTTCAGCTATGGAGCTGAGGGCCTGTCTGCAGTTGGGGTTTTTGCACCAACATGGTTACAACCCCCCTCACCCCCCCCAACATAAATATGTTGCACTGGTGCAAAGCAGGACTTGCACTACTGTGATTTTCCCTAAAAATCAGCGCTGTGCACCAAGTCCTAAGGTGGACATGTCTAAGCAGGATGTAGACTGGTGTGTCGGGAGAAAAATCCAGATCAGTGGCTAGTGACTGAAGACCTTAGCTGTTGGTTGCTTGCTGCTTGGGTCTCACTATTGCAATACAGAATGCCCTTTTGCAGAAGAACATCCTGTGTTTGGACATGATCATACTCAGCATGTAAGGCACCCTAAGGGCTCAGTAGTGCAGATGTTAAAACATCAGCCTTGCTTTGGGGACCTGGGCTGAAGCCCTGATGAGGTCATGACTGAGATCATGAATTTGAGGATTTCATCCTAGTCCTTAACAAGACATTTTTCTGTATCACAAAACTGCAACACAAGTGATCACCTCTGTTTAAAGGGACTGACTATAACAAGGAGGCTGCAGATCAGGCCTGAGGGGGTGCAGGACAGGAATAGCAGGGGAGATCCAGGCCAGGATTGAGATATCTTGGCAGATCTGGGGGACAGGGAGGAAACTTGTTCAGAGCTGCACCTGCTTCCAGGAAGAGCCATTAGTCTCTAGCTTTCATCAGCACCACACTGGCCCTTCATTCCTTGCCAAAAGGAATGCATCCCGGTCTATCGTCTGCTGTCCCATACTCGCTGTGCAGATCACTCATTACTGCCTGCCACAGGCGCTGATTTAAACCATTCGCGAGTTGCTCTGCGTCCCAGTAAACATCTCAGCGCTCCTTTATTGGGGCAGACTCCTCCGGGGAAGGTTTGCAGTGAGAAACACCTTTCACTTGGATGCAAACAGCTTCAAATTTGCAAACACTGAAGAGTCAGCGGTGGAGGAAGCTGCAAACCAATCTCTGGGGGATTGGACCATCTGTACCACGGGCTCCTGCAAAGTCAGCCTGTAAGGTTCATCCCTCTGTTAACTGAATCCAGGCTGCGTTAGCTGAACCTTTCTGTCTCCAAAGTTAATTTAAGATAGCAAAGGTTTTCAAGGCACCCAGCACTATGGCATAGATGCACCTATTAGATTTGTTAGAAAAGTGGGTGTGTGTGCAGCAGGATGTGTGCTTTTGGCATACTGTAATGCACAAACCATCAGAACCACAGGTGAACTGAGTTTGGTGGTCTCAGTTTTGTAATCTCTAGTAAATATTTGCCCATAGGGCATTACCGCAGCAGAGTTGGCAGTCTGCAGGCATGAGATGCACCAGCATGTTTCAGAGTAGGACTGGGGGGCACTGGAAGAGATTTGTGCCAGAGCTGGAGCAGCAGAGGCTGGTATGCAGGTCAGGAACGCGGTGCATTGGCAGAGCTGGACTGGAATAGGGAGGGACGTGGCACATCAGGAACACGGTGCATTAGCAGAGCTCGGGGAGTTGGGGGGATGTTTGTGCAATGCCTGCCAATCAATGCAATCAGTCTTTCACTATCAAAAACACTAACCCCCCAGCTCACCCCTCCCTTTTTTTTGATTAAAGGGAACTTTATCCCTTTAAGGCAGCTGAAATAACATTACACTGAAAAGCCAAGCTGGCATTTGCTACACTGCAACGTGCAAATTGTCTTTGCGGACAAGCTGTCAACTCAGCACTTGAATTAAGCTGCTGTTTGCCAAACAATGAGCAACTGTGACCTAACAGGGCACCATCTGGCAACCTGCCACTCTGGGGCTGTTGGGAGAGTGAGTGGAGGAAGGGGGCGGGGGAGCCTATCAGGGTGTCTGAAACTCCAGCTGCTCTTCAGTGGCAGGGAAAGTAGTAAACACCTCAAAACAAAAAGTTAAATCAAAGGCAGTGACAATCCTCTGATGAGTCTCAATTCTCATTATCTCTGGGGGACCCACATCTCATCCACTCAGACAGGGGAGGGAGGATCAGGTCCTGCTGCCCCGTGGATGAAGTAAAGATGCCTTCTCCCTGTGTCCCAACCCAGGTGCCGGTAAATAGCAGTACCATGACCAGCCCCATCCTCCTCGAACAGCTGAGTGTGCGATCACCTGAAGTTCTGCAACAGCTTCTGTACTAGGAGCCCGTGCTTGGGGCAGGGCAGTTTTTCTTCCCTCCCAAGTCCTCTCCCTTTCCACCTCTCTGCTGTCCCCCCCGCCACTCCATTCGAGTCCTTCTCTTGGGGGTTGTTGTCTTTGCCTCCTCTCTTTCTTTCTGTCCTCCCAGCCAGGCTGGCCAAAGCTTGTCCCTTCTTCCTCACTGGCATTTCTAGCATCTGCAGCTCCCTGTCCCCACAGCTCAGACCCAGACAGCGACATTATAACAACAGCAACAATGGATCATACAGCAAGTCGAGGGCAGACGTAGAACCGGACTCTGGTCTGAGCACTAGCAGCATCCCCGATATTCCAGACCACATCGCTGTCATGGCCAGGCAGCTCAGATAGACAGCCGCGCCCTCCCACCGCGGTGCTCTCTGGGAGCTGCAATGGAGTGCCCGCAGCTCCAGTGGAAGTCAGTGGGAGCCACAGGGTGTCAGCACCTTGGACAGCCCGGCCTGAGTGGGAATGAAACGAGAACCTGAGAAGAATTTCTGAGTGTTACAGCCCTGGAGGAGCTCCCCTCCAGGATGCTCACCAGGCTGCTGAACTGGACTCAAGTGTTGGGTCCCAAGTAGTCTTGGCTTAGAATCATAGAATCATATCAGGGTTGGAAGGGACCCCAGAAGGTCATCTAGTCCAACCCCCTGCTCGAAGCAGGACCAATTCCCAGTTAAATCATCCCAGCCAGGGCTTTGTCAAGCCTGACCTTAAAAACCTCTAAGGAAGGAGATTCTACCACCTCCCTAGGTAACGCATTCCAGTGTTTCACCACCCTCTTAGTGAAAAAGTTTTTCCTAATATCCAATCTAAACATCCCCCACTGCAGCTTGAGACCATTACTCCTTGTCCTGTCCTCTTCCACCACTGAGAATAGTCTAGAACCATCCTCTTTGGAACCCCCTTTCAGGTAGTTGAAAGCAGCTATCAAATCCCCCCTCATTCTTCTCTTCTGCAGGCTAAACAATCCCAGCT